CAGCAGAGTTACAACAGTTAGATGGTCATCCATAGTCCGCACCAGATCCTATTCGGCAGTCAAGATGCCTTTGACCTCAGTTCTTAAGCAATATGTGCCTGGGTTAAACATTATCATGTTGAAAGATTGCATGTAGAACGCTACGCTGCGCAAGTGCTATCACCTCGAGAAGCGAGCTCTCGAGTTCCGTTGAAAGGGGTTGGACAAGCGTTACTGCTGCATGTTTGAGGGTCGTTGTTTATTTCGAGGTGTTGCTGCCCATGAGGTCACTGCAGCATACGATCTGCTGCTGCTGCTACATGCAGATTTATCAGCTGTATTCTTTTCTCACTACTCATGACTGCCAATACCAATGTACCTTTGCTACCACGTATACGGAGTCCTTGCTGCAGCACACTACAGTGCCACTCCGACGACATATTCAGGTGTTGCTGCTCATTGCTGTAGCGAGACAAATCTGCGAAACTGGGCAGGCTGCAACAGTCATCACTACTGTCAATACTAAGGGTTGCTGCTGGGTTGTGCAGAGCTCTCTGCTGCGCTAAGTTATTACGATACACTGCTGCTGTTCCTTCTATCCTACTGCCGCTATCGTTTTCCCAACGGTAAAGAAGCGGTGATTACTTGCAGTTGCGCTGTGTCTTGGCATTTTGTCGTTGTTGCTGTGCATTTCCATGCTGCTTCTGCTGCGTTTTCAGCCACTGCTGTTACTATTTGCTGCTGTTGACTTCGGACTGTTGGTGCTGCCCGAGACCGGTGCTGCTCGGGGAGTGGTGCAGTTGAGGCGAGTTTGGGTTTCTTTGTCTACTGCTGCTGAGCTCTTTCTTGGACCTTTACTGTGTCTTCGGTTCGCTGCCTTGCTTTCTTCTACTGTGTTGGGCTGCAGAAGGACGGTACTACTGTTGAGAGCGGTGCCCATCAACTGGTCTTTGTTGATCGGCGCCAGGGCCACTGTTTGGCTGCTGGTTGATACAGCGGAGGCTACTGTACATATGGGTTGTTGCACTTCTGAGCTATTGTTCCAGACATGGGCAACTGGTGGTCTGTTACTGTGTATTGCCTCACGCATTCGAATTGTGCACAGGGGCTGTGCACTATGAACGCAACCTTGCTAGGCCACGTGAATGCAGTTCGGTCAAGGGTGTGGCACGGAGGCTTCACAGGGTTGGTCAAGTTCTGCAACTGGAGTACTACAGCAACTTGGAGGCGAGATAGGAGGCTGACACTCTGCACTTTTTGGCTGCCATTGCGGGGCCCTCAAGATCTGAAGGCACCAAGGCCCTCCCGTGTGAGTTGAGTTGGCCCCTTCTCGTATCTCGAGCGTCTGACTTATTTCTTTTGTCCTTCTTAATCTAAGTTTAGTCTGTGTTTTGAGAGGCAAGCGGCTGGCGGGATTGCAACCCGTAGGACCGCATCAAGGCCTTTGTCGGGGGGGTTGCCCACCGATTGCGGGAGCTCTGCCGCAGCCCAAGCGAGACTCTGGAGGCAGGGAACTCAAAGGTACGCCGACACATATTAGAATCCCAATAAACTCCTATCTATACAACCCTAGCATTTGGTCTGTTTGAATTTGACTTGTGTATACACCTTTATTGCTTTTTTTTTCAGGACGTTAGCTGAATCGAAAAGGGAATCTACTATGAATGTTAATTCATCTGTCTGTGGTAAAAATCACAACCTTTCCATGCGATGACTGAATTGGGGATGGAGATGAGGTCCTCCTGATTGATCCGGCCGCCTTGCTCGTTTGCTTAAGACATTGAACTGGGGCTGGAGATGAGGTCCTCCTGACTGATCCGATCATCTTGCTCGTTCCCTAACACATTAAACTTGGGCTGGAGACGAGGTCCTCCTGACTAATCCGGTCGCCTTGCTAAGTCAGTTAGTTCTGCTTGTTGACAAAGGTCAGACTCTTCTCCTAATGAGAATAGTCCAAGCTAGGATATTAGTGATTGTATAGAGTTTGATTGAGAACAACTTGGAAAGTTGAAAATTAACTAAATAAGATACTAAAGTGATGTCTTTTTGAATCAGGACAAAGAGAAAGATGAAAACTTTGGATGAATGAACCCTTGTTTTGAAAAGGTTGACTGAGTTGTTGACATGACATGATTGCTGGCAATGCCTTGTCTCTCTGTTCAACTCTCTCTGTCTTCTACTTTGTAGGGTAGTCTGTTAGTGCTCGCCCTATGCTTGAGCGATAGGCAGGTTGATGTTCACTTTTGTTTTCGAATTGTCTCTAGATGCATGATTGTTTTGGTAGGACTTGGGCTAACCTTCGAGTTAGTAGAGATGTTGCCGAAATTTCTGCCAAATACTCAAAGTAGTAAAGATTCAAAGATGTCAACTAGGTTAGGATATAGTTTAGTCTTTGGAGTTAGCAGGAATTTTGAACGTCTTTCTTTCTAAAGGAAATGCTGGTGAAATTCCTACCGAAACCAAAGAGTTACTTCATTTTCAGATATTTTTCGAGTCTCAAGTTTTTTTGGCTTTTGTATTGTAAATATTCTTCGAGCACACTTCCCTAAAGGAAGTGCTGCCGAGATTTTCGTGATTTTCATACCATTACCGAACACTTCTGCCAAGTGGCATGGAGTGCGATACGGAGTTGATCTCCGTTAACTCGACAGGTTGTGTCTGCCTTGATTTTGTGACGCAGGTCACCGTTACCTTCGGGTGTTCTCAAAGATCTTGACCTTTTGTCAACTTCTACTATCGAATTGATATCAGGTCGGTTTACGACTCAACTCCTATCCACCGTGATACCCGCGCCCTAATGTCTGTGACCCCAAAGCGGAAACGCATTTCAATGTGAATGAAATTCCTATCCTTTGAACCTCTCTTGAATGGCCACGCAAAAGTTGTGTGAAATGGCTCGGACGGGTATGCTTCGTTGAGTAAGGGTCGAAAAGGGGCGTGTGGTACATGAACCTAGGCACAAAGGGGTTCATCAGGTTTGTGGCATTCGCGTGGGAATTTCGTTGGGTTTCATGTGCATGCAGGTATGAATAGGGGCGCGGATTCGCTCCTAGATTAAAGATGACATTGATGAATGAATGTGGGGTGTGGGTGACAAGATCCAACTGTGGCTATGAGAATACGATCTCTCCTGTCGCTCGCATCTAGCGAAAAAGGCAAGAGTACTCGAGTGCTAGGTTCAACGCTCGACCTTCGCTCAGACTAGGATTCAATTCAAGTACAACGGGTTGCTCGCTAACCTGAAACTACCTAATACCTTTTCCACAAGGGAGGAACGGGGGAACCCCATCTAAAAGGGTTTTACTTTTTAGATTATTGGTTGGACTTTGGTCCTGAGCCCGGAATTTGAGGTCCTTGTCTAGGACATCGTAGGCTCTGGTCCAGTACAAAAAGGGTTTCCCCCACGAGCGGGACCTACACCCCTTGCCTATCGTCACCCACTGCCTAAAAGACAAGGGTGCCGTAAGGGCCGCACGACTTATCCTTCAACCATTCAATATCGTGAAGGAGGGTCCCTTCACGATATTTCGCTTTCGACACATGAGTGTCGTACACAACCCTAAAACCCATGATAGGTTGCGAGGTTATGGGTTACGCAGGAAGCGTCGCCATGTTAGCAGATCAAGTGAGCACACATGTCCGAGCGTTATGGTCCCCTTAGTGGTTGCATTCTCTTTATGCAACTTCGCGCGGGCATCGTTCGGGCATTCGGATTTTTCTTAATTATGGGTCAAGACATACGTAAAAGGGACTAGCCTTATTTTGTTTGTTGGAATTAGTTTTATTTTTGTTGCGTGTCACGTGGTCTAGTTAGGATGTCCTAGTCGACCGACGTCGAGTCGACCAATGCCAAATCGTACACGGGAGATCAACGCCCCAGCGTGACGGTTCGCATACAGGTCTGAGCTAGGAGTGGACCGTGCGTACCCCCTATGCTACAACATACGAGAAACGCCCTCGACTGGGCCACCTCCGCAATTGCACGTAAAAGCTTTCGCGTGTGGTTCGATACCTCGGCGGGGATACGCCTACCCAAGGGATGGTGACAGCTCCCGCGGGTGGAGGTAAGTTGCACCTCGCAAGACCCTGTCCTGTTGTACGGACTCGATGAAGGTATAGCTGGCGCACTCGATCGGAGCGGCTTTTTGCCGCTTCCCCTTTCGTGAAGCGACTCGCGAATCGGCCAATCTTGCGTGACACAACCGGGAAGGTACCCTTCCGCAGGGACCGTGAGCTCGATAGCGACTGCGTTGAGAGACTGCGCCTACCGGACCGGGTGCAGTGCCTGAGTAGACCGGCAGCATTTACTCTGGCCAACAAAGAGTGCATGTTGGTAGAGGACTATGTTAAGGATGCGATCTGCACTTTCTCCCATCCAGAAGGGGAACTTACTCATAGAATTTTGTTGCTGGTTAGTGACGACTTGCCATTTGACATGTTGTTAGGCATGTACTACCTCGACAATCGAATCATCCGAAATCTGGCAGGACGCCAAGATCGCCTTCTGGTGCGGTCCCCACTGACAGCCTGATGGAACATTTTCGAACAGAGGGGGATGCATCTTCCACGGGAACGTGGGAAAATTCACCCGCCACAAGTTTTGTCATTTTCGCATCTGTCGAGATGAGGCAAACATAAGTAGCACGGCAGGCGCATTTTGGAATTGGTGTGCTGTGAAAAAAAAAAAAAGAAGAAGTAATTTCCCATATTTTTTGTCTTTTGTGCATGCGGAGAGTACTGCAGCTACGCCCCATGTGTTCCCTATTTCGTCAGAATCATTTTCCACCGGCCAAGTGGTGGGCCTTACACAAGTTTTTTCTTTTTGCTTTTAGCTCTTTTGTTTCTTTTCTTTATTTGTCTCTTTTTCAAGCCTGTACTTTATGTTTCTTTGGCTTGCCGTAGTTGGTGTTTTCACATCTGGCACCCGCCCATCCATTGCACCTCATGGAATGGCTTCTCTAATTTTTTAGGCCGACCAGTCCTTCGTCCCGAAGCTCTACCGGTCCTTGGCCGAAGGGCCCAGGTCAGGGTGCAGTTTACTGCAATAGCAGGACAGTGCCGGGGCGTGAACTGGTGGTTTAACCAACAATCTTGTCCCGCTGGCAGCACCAGGCTACCAGGCAGTTTCTTTTGCTCTGAACTTGTTCCTTCTTCAAAGGCTCTCAGCACAGCTTTGCAAAGTCGTTAAAGGCCAATATGGAATGTTTCCAGGCCCCTAATGAATCATGTTTGTTTGTTTCTCTGTGAGAACAGACTTCTATAGCAAAGGTGCACCAGACCTTTACAGGATCTCTCCCAGCCTCAAGCTAGCTGCAGACTCAGGGAAAACTGGTGAAACATGAAACATGTTACCCCAGACCAGCAATGGTGTCCAGCACATAAGAGGTCCAAACCTTTTGACTCAAATGGGGAAGACGAAAAGGATACACAGCTTCTCGTATCACCCGGAGAGAGAGTAGCTGCATCTGAAACTCTGCCTCCAGCTGGCCAGCAATCCGGTCATCTCTGCATAAAAAGACAACAGACTGAAAACTGTGAAAACCATATGAGATGCAGACATCACACAGTGTTCCACAAAAAGTGTACTGCACTTATGCTGTTCACAAGACTGATGCCATTTGCTTATCTCGAGACCGAACGCAGCAGGCTCACAGCAAGTAGCAAGGTGTCCCAAGTTTGGATTCGTCAGATACACGGTTCTCACTATTTCTGTTACACACTGCACATGACATCAATATAAATTGAAGATGAGATTCGTCCAGAGGGAAAGGTTAAAACCTTATGTTTTGTGTCAAGCCCTACAAGACAACTTCACAACACGTAATGAACCCAAAACTTAGAAGTTCCTACCATCAACATCATACATGAAACTCACACCCTAGAAGCTCCAACCATCAACATCATGCATGAACTTTAGTATATAGAGTAGATAAAACTCACAATGCTGGACAGAGAGAGCTACGTAGATCATAATCTAGGCAAAGGACCCAGCAGACTGATAGGAGTCGTCACTCCTACCTCCAGCTACTCCCCTCCCCTCTCCTCTCACCACCTCTGCAATAATCGACCTCTCTCTACAATGACGAAGCTAGTATATCGCTTCCTACCAACTCGATGGCATGTATAACGCCTATCCAATGCAATATCATTCTGCCGCAGTGGAACACCGGTCAACACAATGATGACCTCCGAAAGCAAAGTGCTGTTTCTCACCTGATGGCAACATCGACAGTTAAGAATACATAACCACTTCTCTCCCTCTCTCTCTCTCTCTGTGTATATATATTGTCACAGAAATATCAGAGCGCAAATGCGAAAGAAACTTTAAAAAAGAAAAAAAGGAAGAAAAAGTTGAAAAACAGGAAAAAATGAATTCAGTTTTTTATCTTCTTCCTTATAACTCCCCCTGTTCAGAACCTCTTGCATACAAGGATGTAGGTTGAGAGGCGGCTGCCCCCACCCCCGTGTGTCATATCGACGCACTTGCACACAGCCAAAAGGCAAAGAGGCAAAGAAAAGAGGAAGGGAACAGCCAAACAATACAGAACAAGGGGCAACAAAACAGATCCCAGATGACAAGTCCCACATGCAAGCAGCGCCCCTGCCCACAGGCCAAACGACGGGACAAGACCAACCAGGATGTCAAGCATTCTTGTCTGCTAAAAAATAAAAAAGAACCCAAAGAACCGGTATAAAAAACAATCCCGGATGACGACTCCCACATGCAAGCACCGCCCCGCGTTCCAAAAGGCCGAACAACGGGAAACAACCAACCAGGATGCCAAAACAATAAAAAAGCCCGGACAACTGGTCCCACAAAGCACCGCTACGTGCTGACTGAATAGACCAAATAACGGGACAAAACCAACCGGGATGCAGACAAGATTACCATAACAAATCTACCATATCCATAGTCAAAACAACTAGGCCCGCAAAACGAAACACCCCAACAACGGGGAAGAACGAGCAACACAAAAAAAGGGGGATGATAGGACGACAAGTCAGGCTATTTTCGACGTAAATGAATTCTTGCATGCACTGACAAGAGAATCAAAAAATATTTTCTACCATAAGAAGAGCCTGCTAGTACAGGCCCGACGCTCGCCGCATCATCTACAAGAGCAGAGAGCTAGCAACGTCGGAGTATATATTGTCACAGAAATATCAGAGCACAAGTGCGAAAAAAAAGAGAGAAAAAAAGGAAGAAAAACAGGAAAAAATGAATTCAGTTTTTTATCTTCTTCCTTATAACTCCCCCTGTGCAGAACCTCCTGCGTACAAGGCCGCCCACGTGGATGTATGTTGGGCGGCGGCTGCCCCCACCCCCGTGTGTCATATCACAAGGAGCACACTGAAACCATTCATTTTTCTCTTTCTTCCCCTTCACAGTGCCTCTCACGTACAAGGCTGCTCGCATCCCCATGTGCCATAACGGCCCACTTGTACGCTGTGAGAAAGACGCAAAGTAAAAGGGGAGGTGATAAACACAGGGAAGAGAGATGAAGAGAAGACAAACAAAGAACGAAAAAGGGAAAGCAAGGGAAAGTATGGAGTGTGGAATGAAGATAAGGCAAAGGAGAGGATAAGAAAAGGCTCAAGAATGAGGCCCAAGGCCCGTCCCTTATTTCCCTGGGGCCCGCAGGCCGTGCATCCCCTTTTTTTGGCACGACCTGCATGGTCGCTTCCACATTTTTAGGACAAGGCTTGGTTCATGATGTTCTGGGTCGCTTGACATTATTCGCACAGCAACATTCTTTATTATTGTTATTATTATTATTATTATTATTATTGTAATGAACACGGTCTGGCAGATACTCATCAGCCGTCAAAGCACAAGTAGTCTCAGATCTGCACAGAGTCTCCAGTTACCGTGAAGTGATATCTGAAACAGTATCTCATTACCAATAGACGAAGAGAGTGGAGGGAGGAGAGACAGAGGAGAAGGTGGAAGAGAGAAACAATGATCACACCAGAGTAATCCAATCAAACCCCACTTCTTCTCCAGGCTTCGTCTCACCTCCACGTCATCAACCAGTATACGATAACAAGTATGAGAAGTCCTGATCACCCAGAAGCGCCACATGGCACTCTTATCTCGTGCAGACCATGAAGACAACAGCAGAATACATTAACGACGTCAACCTCAGGTGATTACCCAATCCCAATCATCCACAGATCCCATCTCCCTCCTTGTCGCAACCAGTCACCTCATGTTGCCAGTGCCACGTCAGATGTAGAGACAGGTCGTATGCGCCACATCATCAATGTAGACAGGTGGCAGCACCACATCAGCAATGTTGATAAGTGGCATGCGCCACATCAGCAGGGTAGACAGGTGGCAGCACCACATCAGCAATGCCTGGGGCACAGAAAGCGCCAGCATGCTGCCACAGTCCCACGTCCTCGTCCACAGTGCCTGTGCACAGCCAGCGACAAGCCATCGTTTTGCCAACGTCGAGCCAGCGTCAATGCCAGCATCCAGTCAGAGTAGAGCCAGCGTCAACGCAGCATAGCAAGACTGAATGTTGACCACCCGGACACCCAGCCTTATGTAGCATTTGGTGAGGCTGTCTGGCCTCAGGTCCCCTTTCCACAGTCGTGCAGATTGACTCACAGCCGAGGGCCTGGATTGTACAGTTGCAGATTTCCCCCTTGGCCCTGATGCTGTCTGTGTACCTGCATACAAACAAGTGTGTGTGTCTGACTGGCGGCCTGGGCTGGGTACATTGTGACTTTGACTGTTGGATGTCTGACAGCTGACTTTTGTCAACTGTCTCACGTTCAGGACCTGGATCTTTTTGCGGGGTTCTTTTCCCCCCTTCGGCCTGGGTCTGAGCGCGGCCAGGTAAGGCCCTCAGACAATCTACGAGACATACGGCATGGGTTATTGCATTCCTGCCGGCCCAATTTTCGCGTTCCATCGCAGAAAAGACACTAATTTCTTTTCAACCCACGTTCGTATGCAGCAACAATATCAGGAGCAGTAGGTCGGAGTTCTTTCTTACTAAACCATCTGGCTTCAGACGGACGTTGAGACTTGAACTGTACCTTATACTGCTTCTGTGGTCTTCCTCTGCCACCTGTGGAGAAATACCCATGTTCCAAAATCTTCTCAACTTCATATCCTCCATTCATGGAGAGTGGAAACAAAGACGGCCTGTTAGGAAAGTTATCTCCTTCTACATACGGTAGCAGTTTAGACGCATGGAAGATAGGTCTATAGGTGTGGGGGTACATCTATTCGGTAGGAAGGCCCATCTGCATCCCCAATCGCCTTGAGAACTTCCCAGGGAGCATAATAGACAGGCAGCAGTTTTTGAGACATTTTCTTCCAAGGCAAATTCTTTTGCCTTCACCCATACCAGATCTCGTTCTTGGAACTGCGATGGCCGGTGATGTTCGTTGGCCTGCTCAATCATCCGAAGTTGGGCTTTCTGTATATTTTCTTTTACCTTTTTAATATCTTCTTCATACACAACTGCAAATTCACGGGTTCATGGGGGTAACCTCTGAATCTGGTCCCGAGTTAAAGCATCCATGGGACGTCGAGGCTTCCGACCTTTATGCAGTGCATTAGGAGTTCTTCCTGAAACAGTATGTATATTGTTATTATAAGCACTAGCAATCTTAGGTAAGTTCTCATCCCAATCGATTTGATCGGGTCGAACATACATGCACAAAAGTTGTTGCCATAGACGATTCATTTGCTCAGTTTGGCCATTTGTTTTAAGATGTCTTCCTGACGACATGGTCAACCTGGTGCCATACTTCCATTAGCGAACCTAACATCTCTGTCAGAGACGATGAACCATACTTGCAACCGCACGAGCCGCACATTCGTGCGGAGTTCCGTACGGAATTCCGTGCGGGGGGTGCCTGTGCGGAATCGTCAAGGTTTTTTAATTTTAATTTTTTTTTTTTTTTTTGGGGAGGGGGAACAAGGGCGTATGACAGGAAGATGGGGATATGGCAAGGAGAGGGGGATATGGAGAGGAGGAGGATGTGGACGAGGAGGACGACAAGGATAGCGAGGACGACGAGGAGTCGAGATGGGGGAGGAGAAGAGATGGACGAAGGGAAAAGAGGAAGGGCAGGAGGAGGAGGACGAGTGGGAGGACGAGGAGACATGGACGACGAGGAAGGGGAGGACACGAGGAAAGGGAGGACACGGGGAAGGGAAGGAGACGAGGAGGCATGGAAGATGAGGAGGAGACAAGGAGGATGAGGAGGAGACAAGGAGGATGAGGAGGAAGTACGATGAGGAGGAGACAAGGAGGATGAGGAAGGGCAGGAGGAGGAGGACGAACAGGAGGAGGAGGAGGAGGAGGAGGAGGAGACGAAAAGGAGAAGGGAGGAGGAGACATGGAGGATGAGGAAGGGGTGGAGCAGCAAGGTGAGGCAGAACTCCTGTAATTTTTTTTTTTCATCTCGCTTATAATTTTGGTGGGGGACCTCAAATGCACCGTTTCGACCACGACCCTTTTTTTTTTTTGAAGGGGGTGACG